AAAGTGTTTGATAGCGCTACACTGAGCAGCCGAGCAGATAGAGCTCCGCGGCTCGTGCGCATGAACTCGTGCTTTGCGCCCGTGGCTAGAACGTACCCGGCTCTGAGCCGATCGCCATATTAAACCTCTTGTTCTGCCTTTCTATCGTGTCACCGTTCCCTGGCGCAACTTGCAACACGACATGCAACATGGTGTCAGAAGTGGGATGCCGCCAACGATGAGCCGATTTCAAGAGCTCTCCAGCGGGCACCGCCGCGCCAACCAGGGACCCACACGAAGGTAGGCGACTTTGCTCTCGGGGATCTTCGGCTGCAGCCACGCGATAAAGGATGGCGTCCTTTGTCATACAACCACCGGAAGCATTTTGTTTCTCATCACCGACCGAGTGGCCCAAGTGGAAAAAACGTTTCGAACGTTTCCGCACATCCTCCGGACTTATCGCCAAGCCCGAGCCACACCAAATAGATGCGTTGCTCTACATCATGGGAGACCAAGCGGAAGATATATATGGCACGTTCCAGCTGTCCGCCGAAGAGGCCAGGAAGTTTACAGTCGTCATGGAGCAGTTCGACAAGTATTTCATCCCGCGGCGAAACGTCACCTTCGAACGAGCCCGTTTCAACACGAGAGTTCAACAAGAAGGCGAGTCTGCGGAAGATTTTGTCACGGCGCTCCACGCACTTTGGAAGCACTGCGACTACGGCGAGCTTCAAGAACAGCTCGTCAGAGACCGTCTAGTAGTTGGAATCAAAGATCAGAAGCTCTCAGCAAGACTTCAACTCGACGCCGACCTCACGCTTCAGAAGGCACTTGAGACGGTCCGACAGGTCGAAAGCGTACGTCAGCAGCAAGCTGAGCTCAATCCCGACAAGTCGACTGTCAACAAAGTCGCCGCGGCGCGTCAACATGGAGCAAACCAAAGACGTTTCGTCAAGACTTCGGCGAAATTTGCTCACGCGAACGACGAAAGACCTCACACAGAAGTGAAGCCATCTCCAAGCTCAAGCAAGAGCGGCGTTCAGAGACCGTGTCGCTGGTGCGGAAAAGAGCAGCACGGACGCGCCCAATGCTCAGCGCGGTCGGAAGTGTGCCGTAATTGCCACAAGAAAGGACATTATTCGTCTGTTTGCAGGCCTCGACGAGTCGACTTCGTTGAAGCGCCTGAAACCAACAGCGAACAAGGATTTTTAGGAGCAGTCAAGTCCTCCGAAACTTCGGAATGGGAGACTACAATCCTGGTTCAAGGCCAACCCGTAAAATTCAATATCGACACGGGGGCCGACGAAACCGTCCTTTCACAAGCAACATTCGACATGCTCAAACGTCAGCCTCTGCTTTCAGAAGCACCTCGTCAACTTTACGGGCCCGACGCAAAGCTTCTCGCAACTGAGGGCGTTGCAAGACTCGAACTCGCTTACCGCGACAGGACACGAATTCAAGACGTCTACGTGCTTCAGGACGTCCACACGTCCTTGCTCGGAGAGCCCGCCATCAATGATCTGCAGATACTTACATTCGTCAATGCCGTCACCCAGAAGGTAATCCCAAAAGTCGAATTTCCTTCACTATTCCAAGGTCTCGGCAAGCTGCAGAAAGAACACCGCATTCGCTTGCGCGATGGAGAGGAACCATTTTGTATCAACTCTCCACGTCGCATCCCGATACCCTTGTACGAGAAAACAAGGTTGGAGCTACAGCGAATGCAGACAATCGGTGTCATTTCTCCTGTCGACGAACCAACCGAATGGTGTGCGCCCATGGTAGTCGTCCTCAAGCCAAACGGATCGGTAAGAATCTGCGTCGACTTTACTGGTCTAAACCATCACGTCCTGAGAGAATGGCATCCCATTCCTTCCGTCGAGCACACACTCGGACTGCTGCACGGCGCGAAGATATTTTCAAAATTAGATGCTAATTCGGGATTTTGGCAAATTCCACTGGACGAAGGCAGCAGGAAGCTCACCACCTTCATTACACCCTTCGGGAGGTTTTCCTTCAACAGACTACCTTTCGGCATATCGTCTGCCCCAGAGCACTTCCAAAAACAGATGTCTAATCTTTCGCATGGCATTAACAGAGTGGTCTGTCACATGGATGACATCCTCATCTGGGGTTCAACCGAAGAAGAACACAACGAGACGCTACGCACCGTACTGCAGCGATTAACCAAAGCTGGATTGACGCTGAACGAAAACAAGTGCCTATATAACGTCCAAAAGCTCACGTTCTTAGGCCATCAACTAGACCACAACGGCATCAGACCCGATGAAAGGAAGGTAGAAGCTATTTTGAAAATGAAACGCCCGACAAAGAAAAGTGAGCTGCAAAGAGTACTGGGTATGGCCACGTACCTTGCCCGCTTCGTGCCAAACCTTTCAGAGGTTCTTCAGCCACTTTCATCCTTGTTGTCGAAGAAGCAGGAGTTTCTTTGGGACTCTCCACAGCAACAAGCATTTGACAAATGGAAGACAGTACTATCTTCTCGTCCCGTACTGGGCGTATACAACCCCGGAAACGACACAGTCGTCAGCGCAGACGCTTCCTCCTTCGGACTTGGAGCACTGATCCGGCAGCGACAAACGGATGGCAAGTTCGCTGTCATTGCATATGCCTCAAGATTGCTCTCAGACTCCGAAAAGCGCTACGCGCAGATTGAGAAAGAGGCTCTTGCCTTAGTCTGGGCATGCGGGAAGTTCGAGGATTACCTGGTTGGAAAAACGTTCAAGCTGGAGACAGACCACAAGCCGCTCGTCCCCATCCTTATGTCGAAAACTCTTGACGACTTGACACTCAGACTCCAGCGGCTGAAGATGAGGATGATGCGCTACCAGAACAGCGTAGAATATGTACCAGGAAAGGACCTACTAGCTGCTGACACACTTTCCCGAGCACCTCTACAACAGACAGGGGACACAGACCTTGAAAAAGACGTCGAAGCTTTTGTCTGTTCCTTAAACAAAGCTATCCCAGTCAAGGACCATTGCCTACAATGGCTAAAAGAAAGCCAAAAATCGGACACAGTCTGTAACCAGCTACGAAAACTAAGCTCAAAGGAGTGGCCATCCAGAAGAGACTTGCCACAAGACCTGAAACCTTTCTTTGAGCAGCGACACCAGCTCACCGTAGAAGACGACTTGCTCCTCTATGCAGCCCGTGTCGTCGTTCCTGTCTTGTGCAGAAAAGAGATCATGCACCTAATTCACGAAGGCCACTTCGGCATCACTAAAACACAAGCAAGAGCAAGGGACTGTGTCTGGTGGCCAACAATAGCAGCAGAGATAACTGCCACAGTAAAGCAATGCAACGAATGCATCAAAACCACGTGCAATCGCAAGATGCCGCTTCTAAACACGGAATTTCCTGACCGGCCATGGCAGCGCGTTGCAATGGATCTTTTCTACTTCAACAGCCACTGGTGGTTGATCATGACAGATTATTTCTCAAGGTACCCCGAGATAGCACGACTTGAGAAACTCACATCGCTTACCGTCATTAACCACTGCAAATCAATCTTCGCTCGCCACGGCATTCCAGAGGTGGTAGTGTCCGACAATGGGCCTCAGTTCTCGTCATCAGATTTCGCTACATTTGCTCGAGAATACGGGTTCAAGCATACCACCTCAAGCCCATATTTTCCCCAAAGTAATGGACTTGCGGAAGCAGCCGTGAAATGCATCAAGAAATCAATGGAAAAAACGAAAGACCCATACTTGACCCTTCTCTCTTACAGGTCGACTCCGCTGAAGAATGGCTACAGCCCCGCTGAACTACTTATGGGTCGACGTTTACGAACCAAGCTCCCTATTGTTCCCGAGATGCTCATGCCTCACATGCCAGACACGAGAAAACTTCGCGACTTTGAAGAACTATACCGAGAAAACCAGAAGAAAGACTTCAATCGACGGCATGGCGTACGCACACTGCCTGAAGTCCTAAATGGAGATGAAGTTTGGATCACTGACATCAAGCAGAAAAGTACAGTGCAGAGACCAGCAGAGGAACCCAGGTCTTACTTCGTAGACACTGACAACGGGGTTGTGCGACGTAACCGAACTCATCTTGTTCCTTTTCCTGCAAATGTCCGGGAGGCGGAAGTCGTTGACAGCGAAGATGCTCAAGAGCCACGAACAGAATGTGAAGGCAATCTTCATTTACACACGAGAAGTGGCCGATGCGTCAAGGCTCCCCAAAGACTTTGACTCTTCTGTATGGGGGAGATGTTGGATAGCTCTACACTGAGCAGCCGAGCAGATAGAGCTCCGCGGCTCGTGCGCATGAACTCGTGCCTTGCGCCCGTGGCTAGAACGTACCCGGCTCTGAGCCGATCGCCATATTAAACCTCTTGTTCTGCCTTTCTATCGTGTCACCGTTCCCTGGCGCAACTTGCAACACGACATGCAACATAAAGCACTTTACTTTTATCGCTCATCAAGCTCATAGAGTGGGCAGAACACCCCTCGAACGGGCCGTTCCATGTTGCGCCACGTGACTAACTTAGTTTCCGCGAATGCCACCAGTCTAGCGCTCCCCGGAGAAAGCCGCTCGCTCGAGCGTTATAGACAAGTGTGATTAGCACTGTACTTTAGAAACTGATTGTGTGTAAATATTTTACTTCCGTCGAACACCAAACGATTCCTACTAATTGCAATTTGTCAATGTAGTATTGTTTGGCAAAGGGCAATGTAATCTGTGTTAATATATTAAAAAAAAAATATATATATTCTTTTTAGGGTGGTAACAAAGATCACATTATTAAATACTACACAACAGGCATGGTAAATTAATTAAATGTACGTTGTGGGGAAAAATGAAGCCTTCTATACCAAATAATGTATATAGCAACTCGTTTTTTGGTGGAAATACCTGACGTCTGTTTGAATCTTTTCGGAACAGTGTCATTCACAATATAAAATATTACATCCAGTCAAGTAGATTTAAAATATACTTCACACCACAGAAACATGATGATGATAATCATTTTCATCATTCGCATATCACAGAATGGGATGTCCTCATGACGGCGATCGCGCACCCCACCAACTTGGAGGTCCTGGATCTACTAGTTGTCCTTTTAACGACGGATACGTCATGAGCTACGCCGCCATCAATGCGAACCAATACAAATTCTCCTCGTGTTGTAACTACATGATGAGCCTTATGAGCTGGTATGACGAGTATGCCCATTTCACACCTCTTTGTACTATCTCAAAAACACGGTATGTTGCCGTAAATTCAATATTGGGATATACATGTAGATAATAACATTCATTTGTGAACGATACCCTGGTTTTAGCGTTATGCTTTCTACCAAGTGTGCTCGAAGGGTTGCATTACATTTACCATCGGCGAATCGACGCAGAAGTAAATATCTAAGCAGTTTCTCGTTGTTGTTACTTAGGCATTCCAGAGTTATATAAGTTCCTGAGTAAAACCTCGTCCTAACTGTGACCTCTAATTGTTCAGGAGACACTCAAAGGCCACTCGTGTTCATTGAGAGTACAAAAAATTCCAGGCGTGGGGAGTCTCCAGGATGCCATTTTCGCTTCGAAGTTAATTGAATTGTGGTATCAGCCGATTAAAAACTACCAAAGAATAATCACGAGACAGGAAACGCCAAGAGAATAAGCCACGCCTCGTATTTTTATAATAATAATAATATTAACAATAACATTAGTCTTTATTTCCATTAAGAAAAATGGTGGAGCAAAAGGTAAAAAACTTCAACAGGAAGCTTGATTGGCCGTCAGCCCCATCGGCAGCCATAAGGCCAATAGCTTTTGTGCGATGAAAAACCAACACAAAGAATCAGATACAAAAAAAATATACATTAGCAAATGAAATAACAGAAACAAGACACAGAACGTTCAAATATGTAAAAAGATATTACGCCACTTTTTAGGAGATGTTGTTTATTGATTTCTATGTTTTCTTCAAAGTGGTTTACAAGCTTTGGAATTAAGTACCAAAGCATTTGCTGCCCATAATTTGACCTGCCGGTGGGAACCTTCCAATATTTATTATAGCGGATCAAGTAAGCCGCATCATATTTTTAGGATGCAACTATGTCGCCGCTGAAAATAAGATGCCTTCATTTCAAAGCAAATCGCAGTTCCAGAGGTGACACTTTTCCGAAAGAGAAGTGCTAGGAAGGCCCAGATTCTCGAATGTTTGGCTTTGAGTTTACATGGAAGAGTTGGAATCCCACTCGTACAATAATCATTAAACAAATTCATTCAAGAGTCGGTAAACTCAAGTATGAAAAATGGCGCCACACACCTGATCCGGTGGCATGCATAAACTCGCCGAATCTTGGCATGCATGCCAAGATTCGGCGAGTTTATCGATAGTGATTAAGAGCTTAGTGAGATGCTGCAAAAAAATTCTAGGTCTGATTTTATTTTCTGAATTTCAACCACGTTCTGGCCGCACCATGAAGACACCAATATTTGGCTCGAAAAGACACGAAAACATCACTTAAAACGAATGAACCGAATGCCGTTACGTCACTCTGGAGTTAAAAGCAGCGCTGATCCGCCGAAGTACGGCGGCAAGCAGCGTGCGCGCGAGCCCTGTCGAACCGGATTTGCCTTCTCTCCCGGCCTATTTAATTCTTGCTGAAAGCGAAAGAACAGCAACAAAAATATTAAATAAACGGTCCGTTTGTAACGCGTTGACGACACCCAGTAGCGGAGCTCGTAACCACGCCTGTCACCAAGCAGCTTTGCCCGTGCTGGGCCAAGTGACGTCACGTCTCTCGTGATGCATCCCGCTCTCTTATGGCTGATCTTCGAGCGCTCATTGGAATCGGTCCTTTAGAACGAAAAATATATCGATCTTTTTGGAATACAAGCGTGCCAATGTCATTAGCATACAAAGCTGATCACGTTTAACTTATGTCTGAACGTGGGTTCAGGCATAAGTTAATTTTCGATTCATCATTCCGTTAAGAAATTTGTCGCGTTTCTAATCTTCAATTCTTAACATCACCCCGCTGCAAAGAAGAATGCGGTATTAGCATGTAAGAACGCTAAATAACTAATCATAAGGCAAGAAAGTAGAATATATTTACAAGCTGCGTTTCTGAAGCTCTTACTGACTTCATTTTAAAATATCAGTTTGTAGATTTTGTCAAATTGTTATAAACTTACGCAAGCTTTATCATACTGACAACGACTCGGGGGTCACAAAATATGGCCCGCACAAACCATACACACTAAATTTTTTTCTCGCTAAATCTGGGGGAGTAAATGGATTATTGTATTAGTCGTGTTGCATTAGAAGACGTGACTTTACTGTTCCGACTAAATTTAGCAGGGAAACAGGATTGGTCCATACGTCACGTGACCTAAATTTTTCCGCTAAAATTTAGCGGAGAAAGAGAAATATTTCAAGGTCTTCAACGCTACATTTAGGACCCCTAAACATGTTTCTTTGCGCCCATTGAACACACAAATATTCTAGTGTGAAAACTGTCTCATTCCTCTCCACCTTCCCCCATCGATGTATATCACCATAATACGAACTTACGCCAATGGCCATGGAAAACATGCACCAAAGGTTGGTTAAGTCATCAAATCTGTGCAATATAACAGCCAAAATTATGCTTTTTATATTAGGATTTAGCGCGTTAAAGTAATCAAACTAAATAAAACATACCTTAATTCTCCGCAAGTATATTTTCAATGAATTTCGTCGTTTAAAAAAAGGTGCAAGGAATAAGCGAACACAAAAGAAAGAGTATTAACATCGGCAATTTTGTTGCAGTCAGCTTTCCGTGTTCGACTTTTGTCTTTCATGTAATCTTCTTACAGTTCACTCTCCGATTCATTTCAAATAAAATCCATCCGTCGGTTTTAGGTCGCCCCTAGGGGCATGCCTCCACAAAAAGAATGCCAAATTTAAACTAAAAAGAAGGGAAAATAACTTGCCCGGAAAGGGTATTAAAAAGACAACTCAATGCAAGTTGGCGTTTCCTGATATGCCTGAGACCTACTGGATGCAGGTATATTTTGTTTTCTTTTTATTGAAACCGTACAAAGTTAGCCAGGCTTCTGTTAAACTTTCTCGTTTCTTCTTTTTTCAGAATGAGAAGATCGTACATTGCGAAATGCAGTGTTTTGTGCCAAAACGAGTAGCCGGGTATAACACACACGTAGGGCTTGCACTGATGGATGGCACAATATGCAACAGAAAGAGATACGTGGGTTCAAATGTGACTCTCTTGCAGCATCAAGGCTGCTCCATACATTTTCATTTTCACGTGAGATTCACTGTGTTGCAGTCGCTTGTAGCCGTTTACGACGAAAGGACACACTGGCACAATGGCGCCATCTATCACGTGGACCTGGAACACATCTGATCTGCGTGTACCTATAGACGTATTGTTTTTCTGGCTTTGTGAGGTCAATTGTATTCACTCTCAATGAGAAACGGTGTCATACTATCGATAAACGTGTTTCAGGCACGGCGGTAGAATGATGCGAAGTATCTACGGATGTACTATGTGTTTCAAAGCTACTCAATAGATGTCGCCAGAGTGTGTTCTCTCGTCATACGGGGCTACGTGCGGCTGAATCGCAGTCAGTCAAGCCCAAACGCAAATATGTGAAACAACCTTCGTAGTTTTTTAAACGCAGTACGTAATGGACTCTTCTAAACCTGAAAATTGGCAGGCGTAAGACAATAGAAACCTAAGACATCAGGCCTGAAGGCCCATGGCGCTGACGCGTGTGTTCTGCAACGCGCAAAGATGCAGTTGAAAGGCTTTGTTGGGACGTTAGAACTACAAATTAAAATATTGAAACTTAATATTTTTTTAACCGAATGACAGAACTCGTCAAATTTGCTTTCCGGAGTAACTCACGAATCTCAAAATTTCAGAAGCTGCCAACCATTATATCCTTGCACCCTCTATAAACTGAACGGGAAATCGTATTGCCATAAAAGAAAGGGCCCAGCCACCTTTGTTGCGGTGGATGGTTCATACTTAAAACCGTACTTTTTTTTAGAACCAGCAGTACCGAGATCTTGGAAACTTATATTTCGTTAATAAATTTACATTTACTACACTGCACTAATAAAAGAAAGTATTTTTGGGGTCGGGGAGGGCTGGAAAACTAAAAAACATACGAGTGAACTATAAAAAAAAAAGTTAATAAATATTTATTTTATTCAATTATCGCACCCTTTGGGAGCACATTTTGATAACGTGCCACGTTGGTGTCTAGTAAATAGTATTAAACTATACCCATAAAACATACACTCTACAATGGTATACTAAGAGGAGAATCGGAATGGTGCGTTTATTGGTTCGTATAGGTGCCGACAAATATTGTTTGTTTTGTAACGTCTGTGCTGATGTGAAACAAAAAAACATTATATTGGTATATATTTAAAACGTTATAGCTGAATGTGGCAATCGGGTCGAAATAACACGACGACTTTTATGTTTCTTCTAGGTCTGTATTAACGGCCGCTGCCGAAAGAAGCGAAAAACGTATCTCTCCTAGTAGCAGAAATATCGTGGAAAATATTTTCTTGGACAAGAACCACGTCTTTATACTAAGTCTGCGTCAGTTATAAAAAAATCACACGTTGCAGGTTTAGTATAATTTGTCTACAAATAAAACATACACAAAAATATGCTGGTTTCACTGAAATAATTTTAAACCAGCCAAGTAACCGACCGATTAAGAGGCGGAGGGCGAGGTTTCCGCTTTTCTAATCGTAATTTGATATTGGGCATCCCCTTCGGCCAATGCATTAACCTTATGGGCTGCTGAGTGATAGAATGTTCTACTCAGGACACGCCACGCCTGGCGTCTCCTTAAAGGCCCCCCCTATTTTCTGCAGGGACGATAATCCTCTCGGCCCTCCCCATTTCCTTAGCTGCGAGGGGAGCCAAATTGGGGCAAGGGAAAAAGTGGAGAGGATAGAGGAAAGCGGGAGGCAAGCAAACGTAGAAAGCGCGAAGTGTGCGTCGGCCTTAAAGGTGTCAGCGCTAATAGCGGCTCTGTAGCCTATCTTAATGATACAAACATTGATATCCCCATTGTTCTGACACATAGTTGTTTTATCTAAGGGTCAAGTTAATTGAATTTTCAATAAGACGTTTATAGCGAAACGACTGGAATTTTTTTTATACAGTGCGAATTGCAATGCTAATTGAAATTAGAGTGTACTCGCGACGCTGTTTATGTCACGGGCAATCGTTTATCGGCGCAATTGAACCTTAATATGCGACAGTTTAATTTAGAAGTCCTTACACTTTAATTCTAATGAATTCTCACCACCTATCAGGTTCGTATGCTTGGTCGCTCCATCTCGTCCTCTTAACCAGGAGCGGCCCGCCGATCCCTTTTCCCGTCCGGTGAAGGGGATAGTCTTCTTAGGGCGCAGCTGCTGTCGGGGCGCTCGATATCGGCGGAAGAGAGCTGCTCGCCCGCCCGGCCCTGCCTCTGAAACGACTGGACTAGGCCCGTATTTTTTTGGCCGTACTTCGTTCCCTGCTGGTAGATATATATTTTATTTAATCGGCCACTCCGAATTTAGTTGCGCATGCCACATCGGCTCAAATATGCAAGAGAAAAAAAAGTAAGGCAGGATTAATTAGCGTAAGAACGAATGTTTTACGTTTTCTTAAAGTCCTTTGTTGCAAGATGTATATGAGGACAATTTTGCGTCGGTACTGCCGTCGGCCGCGGCACTCTTTATTTATTTATACCTTATGACCTTCTTTCAAGATGAAGTGAGCGCAGAACCGTCTACAATATTGGTTCCCACTGGCCCCCTTTGTTGCTCTCTTGCCGTGAGATGTTCCATAGCCAGACATCCCAGATGCTTTCTGTAGATGTCAGCTAGTGGTATAGCATATCGCGGTTGCTTGCCGCTTTTAATCTGCAACACGGCACGCAACAGTTTCTTAAGTGTTGCGTGCCTCGTAATTTACGGGAAAGCCTAGACTGTTAGGATGGCACTAAAGAACGGCAGATAAATTAAGCTGCTCAGGCGGGCGCCGATAGAAACGTTGTATTGACAAGAGCGCCTCTAGATTGGCCGCGTTCACCAACTGAAGTGTGCGGCATCGGGACCACCATTGCGGAGGCGTGTTCGATTTTTTTCAGGGGCTCAGAAAGAAAGCGTGACTTTATGATTCGAGTTTAGGGGTTGAGCGACAGACCGCCTGAGGACTGCGGGGCGGGGGTAAAGTCGCCGGTAGAACTGGTAGGTGAGGCGGCTGGAATTTGCCCTTACGATCAGTGCCGTTAGCGGAGACGCCATTGCGGCAGCAATCTCAGACTGGTCAGAAGCAGCGACCATACATTATAATTTTGACTTGGCAGCGCGACTCAAATGCGAATGTTTCTATTGGTTCTGTTTCACTTTGAATATTGTGACCCCGGGCGCGTCCCCTAGGTCCCCAAGTTACGAATAAATAACTTGATATCTTAGAGAAGGTCATCTGATATAACCACAATTTGACCTCAAGCACCTGATTGTTTAGACATCGAGATACAAAATGCAAACACTGTTCCTTTTTTATTGCAAGGAATGAAGCGGAAGCAAATTACTCTCTGGATTGTTCAAAGTTTTCTTTTGTATGCTAGACAAAAATAATATTCAGAAAAACTTGTTATTTGACCAGTAGCTAATTTTTTCAAGTAACAAGGCTCTGTGGCTGCTGTACGTCTGATTGCTTAAGAGGGAATGGTATGGTAAAGCAGTTCATCTTGATTTTAATTTTGCACTTTATAAACTACTGAATGTGTTATTGTGAAACTTTATGGATTGAATGGTTACGACATTGAGATAAGCTTGTTGCTTTTTTGCTAAATAATTTTTTATCTTATTAGTAACTGACTGTTGAATCTCAGGATGCTTTTAATTTTTTAATGTACCTTTTATCAGGAGCAAAAGATAGCATGTGTATTTCATTTGGCACGTGTCTTTCCCATATTGCTGGATTTAAACTAAACCTAAAAAATACGTTAGAACATAAAGCAGGCAAAAAACACAGTGTTCTCACTTGTCACGAGCCAAAAGAATTGCACCTCATTCTATTAATTTTTTAACAATACAAGGAAGTCAATAATTGAAACTTTTACTTCCGAGGCACTGTCAATATATATTGCTATAAACTGTTTAAAGTTCTCGTGCAGTCAGATGAGTAGTTTCTTGTAAAGGTATATCAAAAGTTAAAAAAAAATAAAGAATAAAAAAATTGTTATTTTGAATAAAAAGACAAGTTTGTTTGCCTCCAGATTTCTCGCAAAGGCTTATAAGGCTCCAGCGGAATAGTACATGTCCATTCTTGCTTTGTTTTTATCCACTCCAAAGCCTTGCTTCACGTTCCTCTGCCTCCTGCGTCGTTCCTTACTTTCCCTGTGTTGGTACCTTCGAGGTATTAATCAATAAATAAAGAACTAAATTTAAAAAAAAGCATAAACGTGCATTAACCAATTTTAAATACCTAAGGGCGCGGATTTTGGCGCCATATCTAAGTGACTTGGAGCACTGGTTCGTGCTCGCCGCTTCCCACTTTTGTTTCTCAAACTGGATATAATCTTTCTTTGGCACTGAAACTGAAAAATTTACTTCTTTGGTTTGTTTATTACCCTACCACAGACATAACGAATAATGTTTTTTTTTTTGCAATTTAAAGGAAATGTGAATATCAGAAACAGTGCTGTTTCCCCGTGCCAAGAATCTGTAATTCAAGCGAGCAGAAAACGAAGAGGTATAAATAAGAGAGTACCAACGAGCGTATTGTATTCTTGGCTTGAAATTTATTCCACTAAATTTTGAATTCCCTTCTATTTCTATGATTTATAGTGCTTATTTCCACCGCATGCATTCGCCGATTGTGTATTTGCCGACATGTGATTTATTGTCATTTTTTTCTTACAAGTATCAGCCTGTAGTGAGAGCACCTGATTATCGTAGCGTTTATTCCCTTCAACCTTAATATGACAACTGTTGTTCTATTTATGCTTATAAATAATTATTAATAAATTCAAACCCTGCCAGAAAAAAACATGGTGCGGTCGTCTGCGTAATGAATCATGCTTGCTTTGTTGTCAATATGTATTGATTCGTTGCTGCGAGCACACATCGGCCCCGGATCTTGGCTGCAAGGGGTTCCCTTTGTCGGTGCCTGGCCATGAAAAGTTCCCTAACCAGATATCCCGAGGTTTTTCATTGGACAGAACGTGGTGATATCGGAGATCTGGGTTTCTTGCCATGCTTGATTCGTAACACGGCACGCTGGAACATGTAGGCATGTCGTACACCATAATCACCGTGAAAGGCCTTCAACAGTTAAAATGACTATATAACGACCGCGGGTATCAGGCTACTCACACGAGCGCAGTTAATCGACTTTGGCTCTTGCTGTGAAGCGACTTTGACTTTTGATGTATCCCTCATAATCAGCCCCCCCCCCCCCCCCCCCCAATCCGTCACGGAAAACGAAGTAACTTCTCCCCCTCACCAACACTATTTTGCTCGCGGAAGGAACCGGCAGGACGTTCCTAGAGCGTATGCGTGGGTCAGACTTTTGTGTATAAAAGGAAGAGGAGGGGAGGCGGTGTGAACTTGTCGAGGGGGGGGGAATGAATGTGATGTCACAAGCAAAGCATTGCCCAGATCCATTTCGCTGAACTAATATTTCCCATTTCTCATTAAACTAAAACTCTTTCACTAAAACACACGTTAAACGTCGTTGAAAATAATCCTTGGGAGACTCAGGGAGAGGTCACCGTCCATTAAATCCGCCTTGTAACCCAGCGTGGGCAAAGGATTAAGTTGTCGAGTCTTCAATTTCTGTAAACATATTTACTTTGTCTCTCGACGCGAATTAGCGAATCGTCGTGCTATTCCGCAGTATAAGTATATCGCCAGCCATCTTAGCTACACGCCAACACATGCTACTCTATAGTACTGCAACTGACGACGAAGGCTTCAATCGCAAAAAGAATAAAATTAAGAGTTGCGGCAACGCAAATTGTGCTTCCGGCACGAATTTGCGGGCACTGCAAAGACCTCAAATAGGTTTGAGATAGCTGCGACCTCAGTAGAGCTCAGAGGACGGAAGTCGCGCAGGTAAGCCAAGATGGATCCAACCCTGTCCGGAAGTTCTCATTTTATTATCGGTTTTGTAGAACAGGACGTCCTGAAATGTACTCACCATGTTCCTTCGAAATAAACCAAAATTTATCTCGGCTAACTAAAAAATAAAATGGAGGGCGCGGGTTTAAGTTGGCGTTTCTGGTGTTGCTCCACAAGGCGTCGAAAGCGTTGGGTTACTTTATTTTCAAGAGCCGAGATTCAAACCTTAGGTCCTGTGATGAATGGGAGACATACACCGAGTAGGGATGAGTAAATTGCTTCATAATATTCTGTCGCTTACCTCGATACTATACATATGTTTACAGAGGAAGTTGAAGAAGCTGTATAAACAGCATAAACAGCGAAAAAAAAAACAAGGTGGAACAATACAAAAATACAGTTG